TGGTAACAGGATTGGCGAAATCCAGACCAGCACAAAGCTTCAGGATTGGTGGTGGATTCCTGGATCTCTGAACATCGCTGACATCATTACTCGTGGGGCTGGCCCAAAGGAGTTGGCTGAAAATTCAACATGGCAGCAAGGACCCAAGTTTCTGAGTCTACCAGCTGAGGAGTGGCCAATTAAATCTGCAAAGGATGTATCAGCATCTGCCAGAGAGAGTGTTGGAAGGATGCAGAAGAAATCGTTTGCTGCGGCTCTCACAAGAGCTCAGTTGAAGAAGTCACCTGATCTGGAGCATCGAAGGCCACCTGCTGGTGCTGCTGTCCGAAATCTGGTGAATGAAGGACGGTTCAGCAACCTGACTCACCTGGTTAAGACGATCGCCTGGGTCTGGAGGGCAGCAAAATGTTTTGCAGCTAAAAATAAGATCCTGGGAGATCCAAAGTGGGAGGCGGTTCCATCAGCCGGGGTCATCACCACGACGGAACGCCAGGATGCTTTAAGAGATCTTTTTCTTGCCACACAAGAGGGGGTGACCTTTCCAGCAACCACAATAGACCGGCTGGTAGTATTCAAAGAGGAAGAAACTGGATTACTAGTTTGTGGTGGGAGAGTCCAAGCCTTTAATGAAGATAGAGTTGGTGTCCCCCTCTTACCTTTCAGCGCTTGGGTCTCAACATTGCTGGTTCGGGAAGCTCACAGCAAGGGTCACGAGGGTGTGGCTGCGACTCTGTTGAAGGTGAGAAAAAGAGCATGGGTCATCAAGGGACGAATAATTGCTCGAAAAGTCATTGAGAATTGTATGGTCTGCAAAAAAGCTAGAGTGAGAAGATGTCAGCAAGTGATGGGAGATCTTCCTCAAGAGAGAACCAGGCCAGCATCTCCATTTGAGTTTACAGCAGTTGACCTGTTTGGACCCTATCAGGTCAAAGATGACGTTAGGAAAAGAGTCAAAATGAAAGTCTGGGGAGTCGTATTCTGCTGTATGGTCAGCAGAGCAATTCACACGGAGCTTGCGAACTCAATGTCAACAGAAAGCTTCCTGATGGCTTATCAGAGGTTCACAGCAATTAGAGGCCACCCCAAGAAGTTGTGGTCTGACCCAGGGACTAATTTTGTTGGGGCCAAGCCTGTTCTGAAGGAGTTGTATCAGTTCCTGAACAGCCTGGATAGGTCTGCTGTGGAGGAAACTTCAGCTCAAAATGGAACTGACTGGCACTGGTACATTCTGCCAGCTGATTCACCTCATCGGAATGGCTCTGCTGAAGCAGCTGTTCAGATTGTGAAGAAGGCGTTCCTCAGTCTGGGGAGAGAAACAGGGCTTTGTTTTAGTGAGTTTCAGACAACACTTCAGCTCGCCGCTAATCTGGCAAATGAGCGGCCCATTGACGCCAGGGTGCAGAGCCTTGAAGATACAGTGCAGTATATCACGCCCAATACCCTCCTGCTGGGACGAGCATCATCAAGTGGTGACTGGAAAACGTTTGATTTCACAAGTTATCCCTATAAGAGACTCCAGGAAATGCAGCATCAAGTAAACAAATTCTGGAGATCCTGGAGCCAACTTGCTGGTCCTAATCTCTTTGTAAGAAGCAAGTGGCACACTGCACAGAGGAATGTTGCAATTGGTGATATCGTTTGGCTCTGTGATCAGAATGCATTGAGGGGCCACTTTAAGCTTGGAAGAGTCATTAGTGTTAACCCTGACTCCAGAAATATTGTACGGGATGTGAATATTAGAGTTGTGGCGAGCTCCTGTATTCCAGAGGTGAGGCCTGTAACATTGACATCCAAGTTTCCTGTATCCAAGCATCGCCTCTCCAGCATTCGCAAGGACCTTCAGTCCACAATTCTTCACCGGGACGTCCGGCGGTTGGTGGTCTTACTGCCAGTGGAGGAGCAGGCTGGGAGTCCAGGAGGGAATCTCTGACTACTAGTTCACTGTGTGCGACCTTCCCAGCGGTTTCCGTGGGAAGATCGAGTGGGAGGTGTTGAGCTGAGCTGCAGACCCCGCCCCTCCTGGTGCTGGAGGTGGTGCCTATCTGCAGTCAGCTAGTTAGTCACCAGGTGGGAAGAATCTGGTGATTAGGTGTCTTGGAGTCACTCACAGAGTGTTCAGCAAGCTGGAATGATGTGCTGAGGAGCTGGAAAAATGAGATTGCAGGACTAAAGCTTGTTTGAACAAGGAAGGAGTCGGTGAGCATTCGTTTGTGCAGTGTGGTGGATTTTAACATAAAAGTGAATCCTCTAATTATATTTAGGGTAAAATGTGTGTATAAAATCATGTGCTAAAGATTGTGTAAAAGAATCATGTGTTTGAATTGTAACCTGAAGTGTTATACATTTAACATTATAAAGGTTTAAAAGCATAGTTAAAAGAAATGTATTGTAAAGTTTTAAAGGGGTTAAAAAGCTGCTAGAGTTAAGGTAAAATCATTTTAGCAGTGCTTTAAAAGTGTCTTTATTTGAAAAGTGTCCTCAAGAATGATGCTTTATTATGGTTACTTTATTGTGTTTGATTTACTTGTGTTTGTGTTTAAGGTTTTTACCTGCTTTTGGCCATGACAACTTTCAAATAAAGACACTTTTAAAGCACTGCTAAAATGATTTTACCTTAACTCTAGCAGCTTTTTAACCCCTTTAAAACTTTACAATACATTTCTTTTAACTATGCTTTTAAACCTTTATAATGTTAAATGTATAACACTTCAGGTTACAATTCAAACACATGATTCTTTTACACAATCTTTAGCACATGATTTTATACACACATTTTACCCTAAATATAATTAGAGGATTCACTTTTATGTTAAAATCCACCACACTGCACAAACGAATGCTCACCGACTCCTTCCTTGTTCAAACAAGCTTTAGTCCTGCAATCTCATTTTTCCAGCTCCTCAGCACATCATTCCAGCTTGCTGAACACTCTGTGAGTGACTCCAAGACACCTAATCACCAGATTCTTCCCACCTGGTGACTAACTAGCTGACTGCAGATAGGCACCACCTCCAGCACCAGGAGGGGCGGGGTCTGCAGCTCAGCTCAACACAGATAAATATAGATGAAGTGTGTTATATTGACAGATAAATATAGATGAAGTGTTTTATATTGACAGATAAATATAGATGAAGTGGTTTATATTGACAGATAAATATAGATGAAGTGTTTTATATTGACAGATAAATATAGATGAAGTGTGTTATATTGACAGATAAATATAGATGAAGTGTTTTATATTGACAGATAAATATAGATGAAGTGTTTTATATTGACAGATAAATATAGATGTTGTGGTTTATATTGACAGATAAATATAGATGAAGTGGTTTATATTGACAGATAAATATAGATGAAGTGGTTTATATTGACAGATAAATATAGATGAAGTGTTTTATATTGACAGATAAATATAGATGAAGTGTTTTATATTGACAGATAAATATAGATGAAGTGGTTTATATTGACAGATAAATATAGATGAAGTGTTTTATATTGACAGATAAATATAGATGAAGTGTTTTATATTGACAGATAAATATAGATGAAGTGTTTTATATTGACAGATAAATATAGATGAAGTGTTTTATATTGACAGATAAATATAGATGAAGTGTGTTATATTGACAGATAAATATAGATGAAGTGTTTTATATTGACAGATTAATATAGATGAAGTGTTTTATATTGACAGATAAATATAGATGAAGTGTTTTATATTGACAGATTAATATAGATGAAGTGTTTTATATTGATAGATTAATATAGATGTTGTGTTTTATATTGACAGATTAATATAGATGAAGTGTTTTATATTGACAGATAAATATAGATGAAGTGTGTTATATTGACAGATAAATATAGATGAAGTGTTTTATATTGACAGATAAATATAGATGAAGTGTTTTATATTGACAGATAAATATAGATGAAGTGTTTTATATTGACAGATAAATATAGATGAAGTGTTTTATATTGACAGATAAATATAGATGTTGTGGTTTATATTGACAGATAAATATAGATGAAGTGTTTTATATTGACAGATAAATATAGATGAAGTGTTTTATATTGACAGATTAATATAGATGTTGTGGTTTATATTGACAGATAAATATAGATGTTGTGTTTTATATTGATAATGGTGCAAAGACCCAGAGATGGTGCTAGTTTAAGATGTCAAAGGTTCACAACGCCTCAGCAAGAGTTTAAACCATCAGCAGTAATAATGACCATCATCACAACAGGAAGTACATAGGAATGCCCTATGGTGACCTCTGACCTTCAGAATAATTTGATAAAGAGATGAGTGACCAATGGAGGATCTAAACATCAGATTGACATATTATTTATTAAAGGCAGAAGTAACTTTATATCCTGGTCCTCGCGGTCAGAAATAATTAACTTGCTCGAAGTCGAGGAAGCCGATAAAAGCGGCCGTGAAAGTCTGCGATATACAGTGTGTGTAATGCAGTGAACCGCACCATTCAACAGCGCATGCTTGCTTTGGGGTTTCATCCTCATAGTTCAGCTAATGATTTTAAATCTGCATATCGTCATCAAACCGCACACAGTCACAGCCATGCAGATGAGATGAACGCATGCATGTGTCAAACTAAACTAAACTGTTCAATGACCAATCAAAACTACACGTGACGAGTGGCATCTCCTCTGTAGACTATTCCTGTTCACACACACACACTCACCTGTTCACACACACACTCACCTGTTCACACACACTCACTCACCTGTTCACACACACTGACCTGTTCACACACACTCACCTGTTCACACACACTCACTCACCTGTTCACACACACTCACTCACCTGTTCACACACACTCACCTGTTCACACACACTGACCTGTTCACACACACTCACCTGTTCACACACACTCACCTGTGACGTTTACGTTTCTCTTAATCTGAGGAAGCAACTATCCTGATTCAGGGATTTCTGAATGTTCAAAGTATAGAATTAAAATAAAAATACAGAAGGGTATCGGCCAAGAAATCTGCTTAGATTTATTTCTTTTTAGTTTGGAGTACATGATATAGATTTCATTTTTGCAGTTACAAGAACAAAGAAAGCTGGATGATGCAGTAAAATCAGTGTCATTTGGCACTAAAGTATCGTCTCGTACACAAACAGAGTTAAAGTTAGAAGCCCACTCGACTGCTGAACACACACACACACACACACACACACACACACACAGTACAGAGGAACAGCATATCTCTACATCTGCTTCTCATTAAACGAGTCTGTGTAATTCAAATGGAATATAAAGGCATTTCTGCATCTCGAGTGTGTGAACTCAAAATCATGAATGAATACAAACATCAACACCACACACACACACCATTCACAGGCAGACTACTGGATAAAATGAATTAAACACACACACACACACACACACATATACTGTACAAACACACAGTTCTGGCGGGTTATGATCCTTCATGCTGGACTAGCGCTTCATTCAGATTAGCGTCGGCGATGGAGGCCAAACTCTGCCATGTCCCACCTCCATAATCGCCCTGGACCCGTGTGGCCCGGCCCATCTCCAGTGTGTGTCGCTCCATCGCCAGCGCTGTGTGTCGACTCGTCTTCAGTGTGTGTCCCAGCAGCTCACGCAGCGCCTGAAGAGAGTTCAGCTGTTCGTCCAGCGCTCGGGTCTTCTCAGCGCTGCTGGAGTCCACACACACACACACACACACACACACAGGTTACGACATAACCTTCTCTTCACACACACACACACACACACACACACAGAGATGTGAAGGATCTGTGCTTGTGTTCTGACCTGTCTGCTGGACTCTGGACGCCTCTGAGCGACTGATAAAGACTCTTTTCGGCTCTCAGAGCTTCATTCAGCGCCTTCTGCTCCGACACGAGCTGCTGCAGAACACACTGAAACACACACACAATATGAGTACACACACACAAACACACTCGCACGCATGTACAGGCCAATAACTCATGATCTTACCTGCTGATCAGATCTGTCATGATGCCTCGCAGCCAAAAGAGACCGCAACTCTGACAGCTCCCGCTACACACACACACAGATACACACACACACACAAGAACATCCATGGTGTGTCATTTTGGCATTTTGGCAAGCTGGGTATAAATGACTAACCCAAAATAAAAAGGTTGCTGCTAAGAAGTCATCCTGAATAGACACATAATCAACATATATTTAGAAAGCCAACATGACAGTTCAAGAATTAGCCTTCTCAGCCTGTTATTAATATAGAGATATATAATCTCAAACTTAAAAAACAGAAATAAAATTATTAAGAATATTATTTAAAATGTATAAGAATATTATGTGAATGTAGTATAACAACTTATAACCACTTAAACGGAAGCCACAAGTGTGCTCATGGTTCACTTCACATCTGAGGATGATATCTCTAAAACTATTCATTTTATTAAACATTTTCTAAGATCATGTTGTGAGTTTTTAGAGAAAGCTGATAAGATGCTAATCACATATTTTATTGACCTTTAAACCCCCATTTGCAGTCTGTTATCTAATGTCTGGCGACGAGAAATGAAAGCGCAAGTTCTACCAGAAAGACTTCACTGCCACGTCATTCATTTATAATTCCACGCTACCAATCACAGCTTGACATCGAATATAAAAGACGGATCTTACCGTTCCATATTGTTGCCTGGTAGGTGTCGTACCAAAGTTTTCCCCCATCCTCCCCACCACCACCAGAATGGTTCCCGTCCCGTCGTCGGGGGGTAGGCTCCACCCCTGCCTCTAACGTCAGGCAGGACCTACAAGCTAACCATCAGACCCGGACGGAGGACGGGGCCTACGCCAAAGAACTCTGAGATGGAGCTTGGCGAGCATCTACTTTATTTTTGTCTGTAAACTCCTTTGATATAATAAATTCTACTTATTTGAGAATCCTTCTGAGTCTTTATGGTAGAACTGCTCAATTCTTGTTCTATTGTTCTCACTCAATGAATCTTCATTATTCTTTTATCATTATTCTTGTGTTTATATTCACCTATTATCTGAATCCACCCATTATCAATTATATTTCTAGAAAACAAACAAAAATAGCATATTCTTGGGACCTTATGTGAATTCTTGTAACAAAATAGATATAATTTTTGATATATCAAATAGAAATAGATATAGCTCCTGGCACATCATTACCATTAATCTTCTTAATATATTCAGTAAACAAATCTTTTCCAAAGTTTAGGATATGTATTGTAAAAAGGGCTATAAAAATGACATGATTTGATGTGTGTTTTACCTCAGTCTCTCTTTGTTTTCTGAGGGTCAGCTGTAGCTCATCTCTGATCGCTTGAATCTCTAGATCGCCTGAGCTGCTCGTACACACAGCTGCTCAACATAAACACACACACACACTCACTCAGAATGAAGAGAATCATTTTAATCGATAAAATGTTGGCTGTACAGTGGGGACACTCACCCCGTTCAGCTGCTGTGGAGCTCTGACCCTGCAGTAACTCCTGCACACACAACACATCGTTACCACAGCACAATAACGGTAGATTTACACACAGCACATCATTACCGCGGTACATTTACACACAACACATCATTACCGCGGTACATTTACACACAACACATCATTACCGCGGTACATTTACACACAACACATCATTACCGCGGTACATTTACACACAACACATCATTACCGCGGTACATTTACACACAACACATCATTACCGCGGTACATTTACACAAAACACATCATTACCGCGGTACATTTACACACAACACATCATTACCACGGTACATTTACACAAAACACATCATTACCGCGGTACATTTACACACAACACATCATTACCGCGGTACATTTACACACAGCACATCATTACCGCGGTACATTTACACACAACACATCATTACCGCGGTACATTTACCCACAACACATCATTACCGCGGTACATTTACACACAACACATCATTACCGCGGTACATTTACACACAACACATCATTACCGCGGTACATTTACACACAACACATCATTACCGCGGTACATTTACACAAAACACATCATTACCGCGGTACATTTACACACAACACATCATTACCGCGGTACATTTACACACAACACATCATTACCGCGGTACATTTACACACAACACATCATTACCGCGGTACATTTACACACAACACATCATTACCGCGGTACATTTACACACAACACATCATTACCGCGGTACATTTACACACAACACATCATGGCCGCAGTATATTTACACACAACACACCATTACTGCAGTTTATCCATTAATCCGATTTATAGAAAATAATAACTGTAGTAAGGAATAAAAACACTATAACAGCAGAAGTGTGCAAATCTGATGAAGCTCGAGAAATGAATTTTAAAGAAAATTAAGTCTGTTTAAAGACATTGCGTTTAAAAACCACTAAAACAAATGTAGCCCAACAAGACTTGAACAAATAATGACTTAAATAATTATCACAGTGATGAACACAGTAAACAGCAGCTTGAGTAAATGTGTTTGCTCTGACCTGTATAAGGGAGTCTTTCTCCTTGAGGACGTTCTGGAGTCTCTTCAGTTCCCGGGCCGCAGGAAAGTCCCTCTCTCTCTCCCGGTTCACATCGTGCAGCTCCTGTTCCCGAGACGAAAGCTGCCGCCGCAACTCCTGCAGCTGAGCGGATCGCTCGGATATCACCCGTCCCAACCTCTCCCCGTAATCCTGAGGGAACACGAGGAACATGAGGAAACCAGCACACAGGACAGAGGAGAAAATCCTGAGGGACAGAGCATGATAACTGCTGATCATCGACACCTTCATTTCCTGATCTCGGGAGCTGATGGTGTCGAGCAGCTCCGTCAGGTGTGTGTGATGTTCCTGCAGCTGGAGACTGTGCTCTGACATCACTTCTTGAAACAGACGCTCTCTAGTGGAGAGACGAGCCTGGAGTTCCTGCAGGACATCAGTGGCCGACAGCTTTCCCAACAACACTGACCGGAGCTCCTGTAACACACACAGACTGACACTCAGCTGCCGCAAGCTTAATGATGTGCTGTGTGTAAATGTACCACAGTAATAATGTGTTGTGTGTAAATGTACATTTTACATCATTACCGCGGTACATTTACACACAACACATCATGACCGCGGTAATAATGTATTGTGTGTAAATGTACCACAGTAATAATGTGTTGTGTGTAAATGTACCTCGGTAATAATGTGTTGTGTGTAAATGTACCGCGGTAATGATGTATTGTGTGTAAATGTACCGCGGTAATGATGTGTTGTGTGTAAATGTACCGCGGTAATAATGTGTTGTGTGTAAATGTACCGCGGTAATAATGTGTTGTGTGTAAATGTACCGCGGTAATGATGTGTTGTGTGTAAATGTACCGCGGTAATGATGTGTTGTGTGTAAATGTACCGCGGTAATGATGTGTTGTGTGTAAATGTACCTCTGTCATGATGTGTTGTGTGTAAATGTACCGCGGTAATGATGTGTTGTGTGTAAATGTACCGCGGTAATGATGTGCTGTGTGTAAATGTACCGCGGTAATGATGTGTTGTGTGTAAATGTACCGTGGTAATAATGTGTTGTGTGTAAATGTACCGCGGTAATGATGTGTTGTGTGTCAATGTACCATGGTAATAATGTGTTGTGTGTAAATGTACCGCGGTAATGATGTGTTGTGTGTAAATGTACCGCGGTAATGATGTGTTGTGTGTAAATGTACCTCGGTCATGATGTGTTGTGTGTAAATGTACCGCGTCATGATGTGTTGTGTGTAAATGTACCGCGGTAATGATGTGTTGTGTGTAAATGTACCGCGGTAATGATGTGTTGTGTGTAAATGTACCGTGGTAATAATGTGTTGTGTGTAAATGTACCGCGGTAATGATGTGTTGTGTGTAAATGTACCGCGGTAATAATGTGTTGTGTGTAAATGTACTGCGGTAATAATGTGTTGTGTGTAAATGTACCGCG